GCCCAGCTGCTTCCTCTGATGAGCCTTAGAACTGCTTACCTGCCCTGATTTCTCACCTATCTGATTCTTTAAAATTCTCTGAAAACAACCAAGGTTAGAGAGAGAGATTTGGTCTACATTTAGGCTGAATGATTGCGGCTTGTTTACGGAGAGCCTAGGCAGAGAGTAACGGCATCATTTCTCCAGGGTACAGCACTGAGCTATATATACATCTCCCCTGTTCCCACCACATTTTAATAGGCTCCCCAGGCCTTTAAGCACAGCTGTATTTATCTGTCAGATTAAAATAGAATGGCCTTGGGATTAAGGGCATAAGTCAGACATAAAACTTTTGCTCAAGTTTCAGTAGTCACCCAGCCATGGTTCTGCAAACAACTTTTTACGACTTTGTTTTTCTTTTTAATTTTGGTTTTTTTCCAGTGTTTCTGTGTGTAGCCCTGGCTATCCTGGACTCGCTCTGTAGAGCAGGCTGGCCTTGAACCCACAGCGATCCGCCTGCCTCTGCCCCTCCGAGTGATGGGATTAAAGGCATTGGACACCATGTCTGGCTACTCTTGTTTTTTCCATAGTTAGAAATGGGGTTCAGCCAGCAGAGGAAGATCTGGGTACACACTTTCATTTCCAAACTCTACAAGGAACCTTTGGTGGTTGGTCAGGGACTTTCATGGGCTCCCTCCCCTAACACCCAGAGGTGGTTATCAAGAGATCTGTCAAGTACCTACCCTTTAAAACAAAGATCTGACTTTAAAAAACTGCTTTTCAGTCAAGTATGGCAGTGCACAACTGTGAGTACAGCAGGAGTTCAAGGCTGACCCAGGCTTCAGCAGACTCAATCTCAAACCAAAACAAAAACCAAAGCCACAAGAGGGGATAAAATGACACATAGAGCAAAGGAGATTTTTAAAAACCTGGAGCATTTCACAGGCCCATGAAGCTCTGGTTCCCACCTGTAAAATAAGATCACTGAAGGAAGTCATTTAACCCTTGGAGTAGTGAAAGCAGCAGGTGTTTTCAAGGGCACTGAAAGACTGAAGCATTACATATAGATCCAAAGCAGTGGTGGACCTGGGTAGCAGCTCATGTCAGTAATCTTAGCACTTGGGAAGCTGAGGGAGTAGGATTTGGAGAATTCAAGGCCAGTCTGTGCTACACGGTGAGCTGTAGGCCAGCCTGGACCATGATGATATGCTGTCTTAGAAAAAAAAAAAAATAGTACATTCCTCTTCAACTAAAGAAGACACAGTTTTGAGTATGTGGTAAGTCTGAGATCAAGTTGATAGAACTTAATTTTTTTCAATGGGTACAACCAACGAAAACTCGGAAAGAGGAAAACAGGAAAGCTAAGATTTGTTGTTGTTTTCTGGCATTAAATAGCCAAATAAAGAAAAAGAGGCTATGAGTACAGATCATCAAATGATCACAGACATAGAATAAAGTACAAAGAGCAGAAGGGTACAATTTTACCTGGAAAGAAAAGATTCGAGGACACACACACACAGTCTTTTTCTTTCAAATGTGACACAAAAGAAGAAATTATTCCCCAAAACTAAGAACTGAAGAGGGAGGAGAAGAGAAAAAAAAAAAAAAAAAAAAACAAAACAAAACAACAACAACAAAAAAAATCAGGGCCAATGAAACAAATGGAAGGGGCTCATACTCTCAAGAACAAAATGACCACTTCATGAGATGGGAAAGGGGAGGGACGGTGGGAAAAGCAGAGATAATACCACACATCCGTTCTGAAAGACAGTTTGGAGAAAGAACAAAAATAAGTGGGGAGACAAAATATACACTTTTTTTTTTTAATTAAAAACAAACAAACAAAAAAATGCAACCAAAAGACTGTATTTGAGCACACCAATGTGTCAGACTGGGACCTGAAATCTTTGGCTGTCTCTAGGGAATGGGCTCATGGAGGTGGGGGTGGCTGTCTTTCCTTTGCAGGAACTAAGCCCAGGTATATTTCACTTATATTACAACTTGCCTGAAAGGTTTTGGATATTGAAATGCAATGCAAAGTACGAAGTGAAATTCTTGGTAAGGGGCGAGACGGCTACTCCGGCTTGTTAAAGGTTGAGAACATTCCGGTAGACAGGTGTTCAGGCTTTCCAGAGGTGCTTCTTGCTTCAGAGACTTAAAACAACAATGCTTTGGGTATAGGAAGGCCCCTGGCCAAGCCCTCGCTGCCCCGCACTTGCTCACCGGCAGCTCACTAAATGGATTATACTGAATGAACGAGGAGGCATTCAGTCCAGCAACGAATTTAATCAGTCTCTGGTCGTCTCCAAGAAAGAACCCGAAGTTCTGCCACAAGTCTGGAGGTGCTGTGAGTGGGTCCCCCCAAACACACACACAGAAGGGACCAGGGGGGAAGATAGGAAAGGAACCCTTTCCTGCACTGATCAGGTGAGAAGGGAGGCAACGGCAGCGGTTCTCAGTTTACTCACACTGGGCGGTCGCAGGCCCATCCCCCTCACAGTGGCTCAGACTGTCACCTGTCCTCGCAGGAGACCTCCAGAAAACTGGATCGGACGGACGAGACACTGCAAAGAACACAATATCAGGCGGCGTCCCAGGAAGGAGACCGGCAGAGCCGGCCCCAACCGCCAGCAGTGACCTGTTGGCCAGCAAGTCCAACAGGTTCAAGAATGACGCTCGCAGGTACCCTCCCACGCGCAAAGGACATGGCCAGAGTACTCTCCCAGTGACAGACCCCCCTCCCCCGCCCCGAGTGTGACCAAAGAGAAGAAGGGCTCCGAGACGGTGCGAACGGTCCTCAGACCACCGAGACTGAGAGTCAGGGCCATCGCTGGACTCCACGACCCTAACCGGAAAGCCGTGGAAAGCCAGAGACCAAACCAACTTCCGCCTCCGCTGCGGGGGTGGGGGTGGGGAGGTGGGGGGGGGTTGGGATGTCCCCACCCCCGTGCCCGCCACCCCCACTCCCTGGAGGAAGGAACACCCCCCGGCTTCTCACAACCTGGGGGACCGGTTTAGGTTAGCCTCAAGTAGTGACGTGCTCAAGAGGCAAATGTCATCGAAAAGAACGTACCACATAAAACTTCTAGAAAAAGCCATTTAAGCTTAGTGTGGTGGCGCACGCCCAGCATTTTTGGGCGGGGGGGGGGGGCTGCTGAGGAGGAAAGATCACAAATTGCAGGCCATCCTGACCTACATGGTAAGACCCACTTAAAAAAGAAAAGCCCACTATCACCAGGTCATTCAACACAAAAGCCACAAGTAAAAGAACTGTTGACCAAAAAGAAATTTCCTGTCAAGAGAACACTGGCTGAGAATTGGCTTACAGCTAGGAGCTGGTGGGGGGTGTGACGACAGAGCCAGACAGTGCATAAATTCCTCTCGAATTCTTGCTGAGGCCATCTCAGGTTTAACCGGAATTTGAACTTGATGGAGAATACCATAGAAAATTGCCCAACTCTATCCTAGGAACCCAAGTTCAAGACGCCCCAGCTGGTTTCGCTTCTGTTGTGCTGCCTTGTGCAAACCTCCCTCTCGAGGTGTTTATCTCAGCTTTCCTCAAACAGCTTGCTTAGGCAAAGGCTCCCATCCCTTTGCCTAAGTGAGATGCGAGGACACGGTTTCTGTCTTCAAAAACCGGTGCTCTGGCCACTGGGCACTGAATACACCAAATACTACCCAAGGGTAGTCCCAGCTGGCTGAAATACTTTCAGTTGGTTATAAACTGAGGCTAAGTGCTTATCTCCGGTTGCCCTCAGGAGCAGTGACTGACCGGGGAACGCATCTTTAATCCTAGCAACGCATTCAGGTGGCAGAGACACGTGGATCTCTGCATTCTGGGCCAGCCTGGGCTACACAGCAGGGCTACATAGAGAAACCCTGTCTCAGAAAACCAAAACATAAAATAACAAATAATTGGCTTACAAACCAAGGTTGTTTGTGATACCGGAGAGCTGAGCCTTTTGTTTTGTTCAGACCTTTTTTTTTTTTTTTAAACTGAGGTGGGGGTGGGCTCTTCATTTATCTAAAATCTCTCCCTAGAGAGGTTTTGGATCCTCCCTGTTAGTCAAGGCCTGACTTACCGGCCCCACACCCCTCAGAGTAAGAACAAATTCAAAGGTTAACTTCAGCTGAACCCGAGGGATTTATTAGAGTCCTTGAATGTACTTCAGCTACTCAGAACTTAGAGTGACCTTTGTTGTATTGCATTCCTTTGTTAAAGTTCAAGGGAACTTGCCCTTCCAGATAGATAGATACATAGATGAGAAAGACAGAGAAGGAGAGAGGAGAATTCTCAATCCCCAGGAAAGCGCTTCTTGTGCTTTGGAAAATAGCAGAGGCACTTGAGAGTAAAATTTCAGAGCACTGAGTAAACGTACTCTCTCTCTCAAAAAAAAAA